TAGATTTTCCAAGTCTTGATATAATTTCTTCATCTATTAACCAACAAATACTAGACATATATTTGGAAGTTAATATTCACTTTGTATTTATCTTTATGTTTATTATTTTGGTTGCTAATTAGAGAAATCATCTAACAATTAAAACAATAATATTCATGGACCCACTTTAGAGATGAACGAATTCGCGAGGATACGCAATTGTACTGATTGAAACTAAGTTCACATGCTTGATTAATCAGATATGTTTAAAAAGGACTAACGAAATATAATCTTGACATCATTTTCTTTAAAACAAAACTTCTTTGCCCTAATTTACTCTTTGTAATCGATTTATGTTACAAAATGAATGATCTTTTGAAAACTCTTACTTAGGACGTTAAACTGTTGAACGGCTAGCATCGACATATCTCGCATACTATCTCTATGGATACAATAAAACACCCCCAACTTTACTATTAAACACCCAATTCTTACTTCTCTATGTGTCACTGCTAGCACTCTCAACCACTTCTTTCACTGTGATTTCTTTCACAACTGTCACATTATAGAGTTAGGGGAAAATTTCTTTTGTTTTCTCCCTTCCATCCATGGATCACCTCAAAAAGAAGTTTCCAAACCATTACCAATCTCTCTAAATATATTATCAATACACAAATTCTTCTTGAAACACCCTTCTTCTTTGTCTACCTTCTGAACATCTCGTCACCATAAAGAGATATGTTTGTATTCCTTGCTTACTCCAATACTAAAATGACCATATTTACCAACCATGACTTTTGGCCACAACTTGTTTTTCTTTGCGATTAGCCTCCATTTCCACTTCCCAATCAAGGCCAAATTAAAAGCCTTCAAGTTTTTAATACTCAATCCTCCTTCATCCTTTTCTCTGCATATCTTATTCCAGTGGATCCAATGAATTCTTCTACACTCCAAATCTCCACCCCACATAAAATTCTTAAACATAGACTCCAAGTTATTAATAACACACCTCGGTGCCTGTTGCACCCCAAAATTTGCCCAACCTTTTCTTGGCTTGGCTTTTGTTTCATTACATTCTGTTGCATTTCTGCATTGCATAGCATTTGTCCTTGAGACAGGGAATCAAGGTTTTCTTGTGGCTCAGAATTCACTCTCAATGCAAGCAATTGAACCACGAGCATTAAGGGGCTCCGACTTTTATTTTGCCCAATGGTCAGGCGACCGATTCTATTTTGCAGGTTATTTTCAGCTAAGAAAGTAGCATTCAGGCTATCGTAAGCATTCTCATGGTTACAGCATTCAAGAACCCATTCCAGAAGCTTAACGAAGTTCAAAACAGCAAGAAACGGGCAAACGAGCAGGTTTTCCCTCCAAAAGGCGCCAGAATTCAAAATTTGAAGGTGTTAATCGGTTAACACATATGGTTAACCGATTAACCAAGGAAAAATCAGGCCAGATTTGAAAATTTGAAGGTGTTAATCGGTTAACGCATATGGTTAACCGATTAACCAGTGCAACTTTTGCCTCTGTACGTGATTTTTCAGTGCAGAGCCATTTGGGGTCCAATTTTGATCACTTAGAAATTCAATTTTACACTTGGGAAGGATCTAGAACCATTTTGAATTTTGGTTAATTTTCAAATTAATCAAAACTCCCTCCAAACTCCCACTCCTAATTCCATTCCAAATTTACCAAACCATGTTTCAAACCATGCTTTGGATCCAAGCCTAAAGGATACTTAAGTGATTCACTCCAAACCACACTCATTGTAACCTTCATTTTTCACTCTCATTTCAGAATTGATCTCATTCTCTCTCAATTCTTTAAATTTCCTCCATAACCAAAACCTTCACCAAAGCTCTTTTCTACTTGAAATCTTTGATTCTTCATTCGAATCATTGATTTCTAAGAGCTAAACCTTCATTTATCATCTCCATTGGATCAATTTCTTCATTCAATTTTCGTGCAAATTCAGATCTGAAATTTGAAGTGAAGCTAAAAGTGATTATTTGAAGTAATTTGGCTTAATCTTGAAGGATTTCCATCTCTACTACAAGGATTAGCTTGGATCTTAAAGTATTCCGGGTTTCTTGCTTTGATCTACTCATTTCCAGCAAATCAATATTAACCAAAGCAAATCTCCACTTCGTAGGTTGGAAATTCTTGATCTGATTCTGTTTTTAGCTTAATTGCATATTTACCATGATGATTTTCATTTTTGATTGTTGCTGCATTTTGATTCATATGATCTGTGTTGGTGTTGTTTAGATCTGTATACATGTTGTTTGAATCATGGTTTGCTGGTTTAATTTCGTGATTAAGTTATTATGCAATCATCCGGTTGATCGGATAAGTGCTTATTTGCTGCACATGCTGTTCTGTTACTGATTTTCTGCTGTTGGCACAGTGTTAATCGGTTAATGCATATGGTTAACCGATTAACCATTACAAATTTCCAGATTTTTCAAAGTTTTCATAGTGTTAATCGGTTAACGCATATGGTTAACCAATTAACCAGTTCAAATTTTCAAAATTTTTAAATGTTAATAGTGTGTTAACTTATTAACCCTGGGGGTTAACCGATTAACACTGTGTCAGTGGGTCTGTTTTGCTGTGTTTCTTGCTTAATTGAGCACCGTTTCACTTGGAATCATTGTAATTCGATATGATGCATTAAAAGTGAAATGTTTTGGGATATATGTCGCTGTTTTGATTGTTTAATCGAGATTCTGCCGATATTCGTGTTCTTTTCCACTTGAATGCATGCTTATGGATGTGGTTCAAGGTGATGATCTTTTGCACGTTCGTTTGCTTTCATCTTTTGCGCTTTCCTTCATGTTTGCGTCATTTTTGCATCGCTGTTGAGATCGAGATACGCTTGTGGCGGTTGCTGCCCCATACATTTTTCCTCCCTCCCTCCTTTCTAAGTGTGCATTTTCATGTTTGCATATTGCATTTTGTTATGTTTTCTCTTTTTGTCCTCCCTTGCTATGTTCCCCTTAGGATCTAACCTTCTTTGTTTAAGGATGGTTATAGACATTAGGATTCGAACTATACATCCTAACATTAGGGTAGATGTTTCCCCTTTTGTATCCCAACTCTAGGTGCATTTTGCATGACAACTTTTAGGTTTGAGTTAATCTCCCTTTAATGCGTCCTTTCTCTTCTCATCTTGAAACATTTTCAAAACACATAATAAAGGCTAATGAGTGTTGTACGCTACGGGCCTTAAGCTACTTGGGAAATGGTGATTGAGTGGATTCCTCTCAATTGCCTAGAGTGTTTAGTATACACCCTTAGGGTGATATGCGACGCATTCTCTCCAAAGTCATAGTCTCTAGTGCAACAGGAGTTACAAATCAAACTCAAAACACTTCTTCGCTAAAAAACACAAAAAACACTTCAAATCTTTTTTTATCCTTCGGGATCTTAATAATGGAAAACCATTTTCATAAACAAGAGTATTGTTAATTCTTAGTTCTACTGCAAATAGGCGTCGTCCATAACTGCTGGAACTACTTGTTAACCTTACTCGGGTAAAAACAGACGGACAAACCGGTGTTCTTGTTAACCCGAACTATGTTTGCTCTAACCTCTCATACCTATTTGAGAGTACTTAGGCACGAGACGGCGTTGTCTCGGAGAGCAACCTTTCCCCTTTCATTCGTAGTTAGCCGAACTACGTTGACTCTGACTTTCCCATTGCACGAGGGAATACGTAGGCACAGAGCGGCGATGCTCTGCCGAGTCTATTTTCTTTTTTCTTTTTGTCCTGAAGCTTGTAGCGTAGATAGTTTAAACACACCTTTAGATAGATAACAAGCGTGGATCCCGTCGAGTACGACAGACGTGAGGGGTGCTCATACCTTCCCCTTGTGTAACCGACTCCCGAATCCAGGACTTGGTTGTGATGACCTTGTCTTTTCCCTTTTTCGTTAGGTTTTTCCGACCGTTTCCTTTCCCTCTTTTGGGGATAAATAACGAACGGTGGCAACTCTTCTGTTTTCCGCCGGGTGTTTTTCGCAGTAGCGCCAACGCCTTGAAAAATGACAAAAAATAAACTGGAAGAGAACTTAAGATATGTTTTATGAGAATGGTTTGACCACCAATTGTAAGATGTTTGTTATTCCATACCACTAATATTCTTCTAACAACATGTATCACCAGCTTACACAAAACCATTCTTCTATAGTTGCCACCGACCTGGAGCCCTAGATAATTGAAAGGAATACCACTGACTTTGAAATTCAGCACCAATGCCGCCTCCTCCAACCACTCCTCGCTAATGTTAATTTCCATCAGAGAGCTCTTATGAAATTTTTTTTCAATCCTGAAACTACTTCAAACATCTGCATTAATGCTTTTGTAGACCATATATTCTTCCAACTCCTTTTCCCTATTAATGGTATCATCCGCATATTGTATATGCGACATCCTAACCTCTCCTTTACCAAACTCGTACCCTTCGAACTTTCCCATCTGCACACTTTTAGCCATCATAAGGTTTAAACCTTCCACCTCCAAAAGAAATAGAAAAGGAGATAGAGGATCCCTTTTTCTTAGACCTCGTCCCAACAGGGTTTCTTCAGCCGGACTTCCATTTATCAAAATGAATACTCTAGCTATTCTCATACATTTGTTTTATATATTTTCTCCATCTCTCATTTCCACCGAATCGTAAGCCTTTTCAAAATCTGCTTTGAGTAGAATTGTTTCTCGTTTTCTCCTCTATGCATCATCCACTAACTCATTAGCGATAAGAATATAGTCACCAATTTGTCTCCCCTTAAAAAATGCAAATTGAGATTCTGACACAACTTTGTGAATTACCTTTATAAGCCTATTTGCGCGAAGCTTAGCCAAAATCTTACACATACTTCCAACCAATGAAATAGGCCTATACTAAGACATCTTAACTAGATTCTCAACTTTAGGAATTAAAGATATGAATGAGCTATTAACTCCTTTTACCAATTTACCATTCAAATGGAATTCAGAAATGAATCTGCATAAATCACCTTTTAAGAATTCCCAAAACTCTTTGAAAAACCCAAATTAATTCCATTAGGGCCCAGGCTTTTCATGCCATCACATTCCCACACCGCATCTCTCACTTCCTTTTCGAAAAAAGATGCAGTAAAAAATTCGTTAGCCTCTATATCAATTCGCTTAAATTTGAAATCCAAGAGCATTGCACGTTTATCCTTGTTACCCCCATAAACTTCTGTAAAGAATTCGATCATCTCTTTCTTAATTTCATGAACTTCATACATCTTGGATCCATCCTTCTTTATACACAATATCTCATTCTTCTTTCTCCTATTTGTAATACAACGGTGGAAAAACTCTGTATTAGTGTCTCCTTCACTAAGACATTTCATCCGCAACTTTTGCCACTGCATACTAGTCTTCAATTTCACCATAGACAATAACTGAGCTGTAAGTTCTCTTTTCAAATTCACCTCATCAGTCGATAACATTGATTTTTCTCCCTTGCAATCCAACTCATTCACTTTCCTTTTTTCTCCTTCTATTCTATCATCAAGATGCTCTGTGTGCTCTTTACTCCACTCTTTTAGCTTCAATTTGATCAACTTATGTTTTTCTCTTAATACATAACCACCCCATCCTTGAACCTCTAACTTTCTCCAAGCATCTTCAACAAACTAATGATATCCTTTAAGATATCTCCACCCCTAAAAAAATCTTATAGGTTTTGGACCCCAATTAACTACAACATCACTTATCATGATCGGGCAATGATCAGACAATTTTTTATCCAAACACCGCTGGTAACAATTAGGACAATGCTCTAACCATCCATCCGAGACTAAAAATCTATCAATACGACTCATAAACGAACCCTCCAAGTTAGACCAAGTGAACCGCCTACCTATCAAAGGGAGGTCCACCAAATCAGCTTCTACTATGAATTCATCAAATCCTTCCATCTCACCTCTACTATGAAACTCTCTGGTCCCTTTCCTTTCTATTTTAGATCTGATTGCGTTGAAGTCACCTAAAATGCACCATACTCCACCCACCTCCATTTGAATTAATTCTTTTATATCCTTCCACAACTTCCTCTTGTCGGTGCCGTCACACGGAGAGTAAACATTTATGATGAGGAAGTCGTTGCTTAGTTCTTTTAGCTGTTCGGCACACGCGCCATTTGAATTCTTGTTTAGTTCGGCCTGTGTGCCGCAGTTTTGGTTTGACTTTTCCTAGCCTGCGTGCCATGGGCTATGATTTGTAATATTTGGACAAGGGGATTTTCCCGTCTTAATGCATGGTGCCTTATCAATTGATATATTTGTATTCTGTGTGTGATGTTGTATGTTAAATATATGCTTCCTTTGTATTTGTGGATTTTTGCTAAGTGATTGGGGCTTTTTCTCGGCGTAGTTGATTCTCATCCGTGCAGGGAAATGGCCAAGTGGTTGGAGTTGGGTTCTGACCGTCGACGAAGCTAAGAACTCGATATAGGTCTTTTCTCTGTGGCGTGAAATTCCCGTTGCGAGTTGGGTTTTCTGCCTAATTGGTACGGCAACAGTAGAGATCGACTGAGGTATCCCCGACGGATAAATAGCTCACTCGCACACAGAAAAGCGAGATCTCTTCTTTTTGTCTCGAGTTTAGGAGTCGCGCTTGTACCCTAGCGCATCCATGTGGTCGCGACGCGAGTACATTGTGGGAAGGGTTTAACTGTAATACTATTTAAGATTTTTTGCGTTCCATGGTCGAGCAAGTTCCTTCCCGTGTAAGTTTTCGAGGTAGTAGGCCCCATTTTTTGTTCTTGTGCAAACGCGATAATGGCCTTCCCAGTTCGCAGCGAGTTTTCCATCGCGCGAGTCTTTCTGGTTCCTTCGTAGAACTAGGCTGCCTACCTGGAATTCACGTTCGATGCCTTTGCTATCATGCCGTAGAGTTATTTTTTCTTGAGCGAGGCTTTGCGTAAGGATCCCCCCGACCAGATTTCTTTGACCAGGTCGAGCTCCTTCCTTAGGGCCTCATTGTTCGTCTCCTCGTCGAGGGGAGATTCGGTCCTCCTGGAGGGTTCCCTTATTTCCATAGGAATTACTGTATTGGTTCTATAGTCGGAATGAGGTCTCCCCGATTGTCAAGTGCGGGGTCGTCCTATAGGCCCAGAGCATGCTATGTAGCTCCTCGACCCACTTGCTTTTGGCTTTTCCCAGTCTTCGCTTTAAGTCGCGCAAGATCACTCTGTTTGTGGCTTCCGCCTGCCTATTCGTTTGCGGATGCTCGAAAGATGTGAAATGTTGCTTCTTGCCTAGCTTAGTAACAAAGTCCTAAAAGTTCTTTCAGTGAATTATGTCCCGTTGTCAGTGACGATTGCTTGGGGTATGCCGAACTAGGAAAGGATGTTTTGTTTGTAGAAACTGAGCATGTTGTGTGTTGTGATTTTGGAGAGGGCTTTAGCCTTGATCGCGACTTTGCATATTTGTCGGATTATTACTACAAGTATAAAGTCTATCGCGTAGTTTTAAAAGATTATCAAACCCACAAGGACTAATAATCAACCTAGAGTGATCAATTATTGCGGTGCAAAGCTAAGGCTTGGTTTTTACGGTTAAAAGACTTAATTAAAACGGGACTTGAAAAAGATAAAGAAACGAGTCCGAAGAATGATCCACGTGCTCCTAGGGGACTATGCAGATCCTGGGTGTTAACAAAGGACTCAAATTTATTCTGTAGGAAAAACTGGTTTAAAGATTCGATCTCACACTCTCGCGCTATTAACCCAACCACACGTGATGACCCCAAGATTTTGCTCTCGCTCGCTCGGTGGTTAAAATGCACTCTTTGAAAACTAGCAAGGCCTAACTGAAACCTGAAGCGCTCTCGCTGCATTCAGACTCAGTGCTCCGTGTCTACTATCCGATGATCACCTCAAACTCTCGCTCTGTCAGACACGCCTTGGTGTATTTCTCACTCTCGTGACAAAACACTGTTAACCAGCCTCTCGCTCTCGCGACAAGACTGGCTAAATTCTGGTTAGACACCAGAATCAGAATCTTAAAATAACTAAGTTGAACATCAATGGTTCTTTCAAAGTCCTGTCGGGTGACGGTACTCAAACTACGGACTCCGACTAAACTACTCAGACATGTTCATCTCGAAACCTAAGACATTTATCATGCTGTAAACTAGAACATACATAATTGCGATTAATACGAAAGTAAAATAATGCAGTAAAAATAGAATTATAGATAACCTAAAATAAATTGAAATGAAATAACTTCAAATGTACTACAATGTTGATCCAAGTGTGTAAACAGTGTTTACAGGAAAGTAAGAGTACAATGGGCAGTAATCACTTAGTGTGAGGGATTGTTGCTTTGGTTAATGAATATGGAAGAGAGGTCTGGCAGAATTTCGACAGCGCTTCTGCATGGGTTCTTGGATCTTTAACTTTGACCTAACAGCCTCTATTTATAGAGGGGGGAGGTTCCTAAATAATAGGAGATGAAAACTGCCTCAAAACTACCCAACTATTCTGAAAAACTGCTCCCAGGGCAAACGGCGACTGTCGTGTGCTTAATGGCGACCACCATTAGGTTCAAACTGGTATTCCCTACTTTTCTTCAATGGCGACCGCCTTCCTCAGGTAATGGCGAGCGCCATTGTCCTGAGGAGGCCAAATGTTGTTTTTTGAGGGGCTTTCTCCACCGTTTAGCTCGCTTTTCGATCCTTGTCTCCTATGTTGCTGATTTAACACCTGTCAAGTAAAAAGGAATCAAAACATAAATAATCAATAGCTAAAACAACAATGACTCGATAAAATAATGAATAAAGATGCACGAAATGAATCGAAAAATGCGATACAAAGTCGAGTCATCAAACTCCCCCATACTAAAATCTTTGCTTGTCCTCAAGCAATCGACCGATATGGTAAACGGAAAGTAAGTATGGTCTGAAACATTGGCACAACGAAACTCTGATCATACGCGGCTGCTAGGCTAAAGTTTGATCGATAGGTACTAAATAATGAAAACAAGGATATTGTACCGACACATCTCCACATTTGCGGACAAACACTCCCCTCCTATGCAATACCAATTTAAATCACAAAATTATGAACAGACCTATATCCTTTATCCTATTTCACCTCTTTTTCATTCTCGCACAATCACGTTAAGCTCGTTATCCCTTGCACTCACATGGTAACCGAACCTGTTTGTGTTATATGATCTCAATATTCAGAATTTTTTTCTCTTTTTGCACATTATGTTTTCTTTTGCTTACGAATTTCAAGAGTTCAAACCTTTAGGCTAAATGGCCGTGTGAGGATCACCTAATGTAGCGGGATCATGTCTTTCATTTGCTTCCTATGAAAATCACATTATTCAAATCTTTGAGATCAACACATATTTGCATCGGTTCATTACATAGTTTGTACACAAGGATGGTGCTGGCTACTAGTATAAACTAGTCAAGAGGCTACTTCTAAGAAACTAGGCATAAGGTCTTATCATAATGTCTATTTAAATAAATATTACATACTTAGGGAATCTAAGGTGTAGGAACAATACCGATATTTTCACAACTTTCCCAAGTCTAACTAACACAGCCTAAGCAATCTATATACTTTCGGAGTGTCGTGCCATGAATCAAAATTTTAAACTATGGTCAAAATAGGGGAGTAACTAGAGAGTACAAAAAATTGTAAAGCAATTATTGATTGATACGTGCGTATGACTCAAAAAGAAACAACTAAAACTAAAAAACTGGAAATGATAAAAAGTAATAAAAACAGTAAACAACTCATTCCCCACACTTAAACTAGGCATTGTCCTCAATGGCCAAGTCTAATGTGAAAGAAGGAGCAATAGAACCTGGAGTAGCAGTGGTGGAGACTATTATACCCCAAATTTTGACCCTTAGATCTTCATCATCATTCTAGGAGCATCATCATTGTTTATCTAACCTTAACCTATTTCAAGTTTGTCTTTGTCAAGGCACAGGTAAATCAGGGTTCCATACAATCAAGAATCAGGGGGTTTCGATGGTTTGATCAGTCAATGTTTTGGATTTATTTTCCATAAAACAAGTCTCCACATCATCAAGAATACTAAATTGGATCAAATATGATTCCAATTTGAGGTTGTCACTCAAGAGAGAAGAGCAGTGCAATCCACTACCACCGATTAGGGTTTCTGATTAGGAAAAGTCAATTGTGGTTTGAATTTTGATTTAAATGGTATTCCAATGATGGATTCCTGGTCCATAAAGCTTATATGACTTATTTAAGTCCACCCAAGAAGTTTCAAGACCTCAAAGGGCCCAGAACACCAACAGTTGATTCAGGGTTTTCCGATCGATTAGTTCGTCTGACTGAAAAGTCAACTCATTGACCAATAGGGTTTTGACCCCAAAGTTAAAGGCAAACATGTCCATAGTAATATATTATAGCTATTCATAAATTTTTGTGACCTTTGGATCAAGAATTGAAGAGTAATCGAAAAGTCAGAAAATTAGGGTTTGAAAGGGGCAAGACCATAACGTTTTAACCACACATCCAAATTGAGTGGTTCAAAGCTTGTTGCAAAGGTCTTGACAAATACTACAAAAGTGAAACAGTGGTCCATGTCCGAAAACTGAATAGATTTGGAGTTATGGTCAAAATCAATGCAAGAGAAGAAAACACTTAGTGAAATTTCACATTTTTAGCACTTTACAAGTCATGTTTTTAGCCAACTTCAAGGGTATTTTTGACCTAGTTCCACTTTGAATTTGAAAATTCCAAAAACATGAAAGTTTTAAATCATGATGAGGGCTTTACAAAAAGTACAATAACTCCTCCATAGCATTTGTGAGTTAGGAGTTTCGAAGGAGGCAAGTTGGGTCCAAACACTTGAAATGCATCATGTCAAACTTAGCATAAACCAACTTCTCAACTATCCAATTGATTTTCAACCGTGGTTTAACATCTGATTTGATGTCTAAGAGTGTATGATGAGCAAAATCAGAGGAATCTATGAGCAAACCAAAGATTTGTTCAAGATCATTATTTAAATGCAAGAAAGTA